TGTTATGATCGTGACATCTATTTTTCTACTTTCGTTATTTCTTTCGTGTTTACTTTCTTTGTTAGTGTTGTGATATAAGTTGTTGGAGAATAAAAAAGAAAGTTAGTTATACCTAACAATACATCGAACACGCCTCTTATTTACATATATATAACATAGGGTATAACAGTGGTGACAGCGGTTAAAGAAAAAGAAGAAGAAGTAAACATTTGTTTTTTTTCTCTTCTTCTTTTATCTAGCGACGATTTCAATTATTCAAAAAAGGAATCGTTCTTAATTAAGAGCTGATTCTGTCTTACACATCCAACAACGGAACTTAAATTAAAATTATGACCAACGATGATTTAATTTCAAATTCGAATGATGATACAAAAACAATAGAAAAGCCGACACAATCAATTCTTGCATCACAACAACGACATATGAATACATCGAGTGAATCAGTACGTCGGCATGTTCGAATTATTACAGAAGGAGAAAATATGGATATGGGTAAATGGTTATCTATATTAAACAAACTTTATGATGATCGAACTTATTCACCATCACAACGTGTAATTTATACAGTTTCATTATTAAATGAAGAACAAAAATTATGGTACGAACAAAACAAGGATGAAATTAAAGATGATTGGGCACTTTTTTGTGAACGATTAGAACAATATATACACAGTTATAAACCAGCAGGAACAAATCTCTTACTCAATGATACTTCAGTATTGAACAATACTACAGTAGTTATACTAGAAGATCTTATTGATTCAAAATTTAATAAATATTCAGGTGTTGGTGATGCAAAAGATTGGTTGTTACAAACAATGAATCAATTTAAAGCATGTGGATTACGACGTGACGATCAATTTGAAGCTATACCTCTATTATTAGAAGGAGATGCTTATTTATGGTATGCTGAAAATAGTGATGCAATACTTAATTTTGAAATATTTACCAAGTTATTTTTACAACAATACAAATCAACAGCATCATCACCAACAAGTTCTACAGTGGGTACGAGAGCATTGGTTACCTCAGTACCTGATCATACGTCTACATCACATTTACAACGAACTGTAGCAGATGAAATTATCAAACGACCAACATATTTTCGTGGCTCCCAAGATGATGTACATGAATGGTTGGACAAATTAGAACAACGATTTTCAATGGCACAATGGAGTGATGCAAATAAATTACATTATATATCCATACATTTATTAGAAGATGCTTATCGATGGTGGATGCAAACATCTTCAACAATTAATACTTGGTCTTCATTTACAAATGCAGTTACAAGAGCTTTTGGTTCAACACGTGCACAAGAACTAGCATTTGAACAATTAAAATGGTACAAACAAACAATTAATCAATCCATTGCACAATATTATGATAAAATTATTGAATTATGTAAGAAAGTTGATCCTGCAATGCCTGATTCTTTGAAACTCAAATATTTGATGGCTGGAATTAAAGAATCATTAAAAACACACGTTGCATTACAAGATCCCAAAACAACAGAAGCATTTCTATCATCAGCAAGAAAAATTGAAGATATTTTTGCACTTAATGATACAAACAATGAATTAATTCCACTTGCTACATTAAATGCAACTACTTATCAAGGTCAACAAAATCAAACAAATCCTACACGAACATCAAACAATATTTTTAATCAAAGCAATCCTCGATATACAAATACAACAGATACTCGTTCAACTTATTATCAAAATACGTCAGCTGGAAATAATGCACATCAACAAAATAAATCTTCAAAGTTTACGAGACCGACACGACGATCGAATGCTTGTTATACTTGTGGTACTCCTGGCCATTATGCCCGGGATTGTACCCGTTCACATTTTCAATAATGGAAGCATCGATCGATGGTGTTGCTTCCAAAATATTACATGGCAATCCATCGACGTTAAACACATCATTGCTTTATCTTAATGTTCTTATAAATAATCAATGTATGAAAGCAATGATTGATACAGGTGCCAACCGAACTTTTATTTCATTACAAGCTTTATCTACTTCATATAGCAAACAATTTATTAATGCAAAACAAAAAACTGCATCTTTGGCTGATGGACACACATCAATTTCTATTTTAGGTACTTTAGATTTACATATTGTTATAGGTGATATGTCAACTTCGATTAAAGGATATGTGGTGAAAGATTTATGTGCTGAATGTATATTAGGAATGGATTTTATTAGTAAATATAAATTTATAATCAATGCCGATGAACGTGTAATATCAATATGTGATCAGGAAAAACGTATAACATTAGAATATGATGTTAATCAAGATGAAATTTGTTATCCAGCACGAACCATTCGTTATACTTACATTCCACCACAAGGGACAGTTTCAATCCCAGTCAACATCGGAATATCATCAGCAAAGGTTTCATTTCGTCCATCTTATCAATTAGCACAACAGTCATCGATGATTTTATTAAACAATACATTAACTGTTAATCAACAGGAATCACATATTTCAATCTACAATCCAACATCATATTTTTATACATTACCAAAAGGGGTGATACTAGGTACAACAACTGTTCCTACATTATCTTTTAGCAAGTGTACATCTATTAATCGTGAATTAGTTGATGATTATATTAACAAATTAACCCGACATATTGCAGATTTAAAACAAGGAGGAGAAATCAAGGCTATTTTACATCAACATGAAAAATTGTTTGATACAAGTAAACCAGCAGTAGCTATTAATGTGAAACCACATGAAATTAAAACACTTGACCATCCTCCGCCATCATCGAGACCATATCGTTCAACACCTGACAAAGAAGAAGAAATGTACAAGATTGTTCAAGATTTATTGCATAGTGGTTTAATTCGAAAATCTTATTCTCCATATGCAGCACCAGCATTATTAGTTGCAAAACATGATGGGTCATGGCGAATGGTAGTGGATTTTAAGAAATTGAACAATTTAACAATTAAAGATAATTATCCTTTACCTAATATGGAACAAACAATAAGAAGATTAGATGGTGGTTACAAATTCTTTTCAAAATTAGATATGAAAAGTGGATTTTGGCAAATACCGATTAAAGAAGGAGATAGACATAAGACAGCATTTGTAACTGTTGATGGTCTATATGAATGGAATGTATTAGCTCAAGGATTGAAGAACAGTCCACCATCATTTCAACGAGTAATGGCCGATATATTAGCTCCTTGCCGACAATTTTCGTTAGTTTATATTGATGATATTGTGGTGTTCTCTCGTTCATTTGAAGAACATTTGGATCATATACGACAACTATTATCTATTTTATCCAAATATAATTTTCAACTTAATCCACCAAAATGTAAATTATTCCATCAAAAAATTGATTATTTATCACATATTATATCAGAAGAAGGTTTTCAACCAAATAATGATAGAATACAATCAATTATGAATTTAAGGGAACCTTCTACATTAGTGGAAGCAAATAAGTTCCTGGGCGGTTTATCATGGTACAGAAAATTTGTTCCTCGATTTGCATCAATAGCTGCACCAATACACAAGGTGACAAACTTAACTAAACAGAATCGAAAAAACTTTAAATGGGAACAACCACAACATGAAGCATTTATACAATTGAAACAATTTTTAGTAACTACTCCATTATTTCTTGATTATCCAAATGATAATTATCCAGTTATCTTGACAACAGATGCATCTAAAATAGGTATTGGTGGTACCTTACAACAAAATATTAATGGTGAAATTAAAAATCTTTATTATCATTCCCAAGTAACATCTTCCACTCAAAAAAGATATGATCCCATTGAATTAGAAGCATTAGCAATATGGATGTGCTTTCAACGTATGAGGCCTTATTTATTAGGAAGATCAGTGATCATCTATACTGATCATTGTCCATTATGTAATATGATGAATTCAACAGTAAAAAATCGAAGAGTTGATCGTATATCAATATTATTACAAGAATATGACATCGAAAAAATCATCCATATTAAAGGTCAACATAATTGTTTAGCTGATTATTTATCTCGTCATCCAATTCCAAGAGAAGAAGAAATATTCGATGAAGATTATGGTATTGCTAAACAAGATAAAGGGGAACCGACTGTTATGGAATGTGTTCCTGATGAAACTCCTCCATTAGCTGGAGCTATAACAAGATCCAGAACAAAAAAATTACGATTACAACAAGATAAAAATATGACAACAATTACACCATCCCAGAAGAATGTAACACCATCATCAGCTGTAGATGAAGAAGAAGATGATCAACGAAAAGATTCTGCATCTCAAGATATTCAGAAATATAGATTTGATATGGAACAATTAAAAACTGAACAAGAAAAAGATCCAGTTATTCAACAGAAAATTATAGAAGTCAAGAAAAATCCAGTTAAATGTTCATATGAATTAAAAGATGGTTTACTATATAAATTATTAATGATGCGTGTTAATTGCAATACAAAGAAAAAAATTATATATTTACCATCATCTATGATTAATAATCTTTTACAAGTTTATCATAGTGATCCATTAAGTGGTCATTTTGGTGTTCAACGAACATATTTGAAGATCAAGAATATATTTTGGTGGCCAGATATGAAGCAATCCATTACACGATATATACAATCGTGTTTACCTTGTCAACAATACAATATCACTCGTACAAAAAAACCTGGCAGATTACAACCAATTCCTCCACCTGAAGGACCATTTCAATTAATTGGTATGGATTATTGTGGTCCATTGAAGCAAACACCTAGCGGGAATCAATATGTATTATGCATTACAGATTATTTTACAAGATGGATAGTAGCTGTTGCTGTACCTGATTGCTCAGCACAAACAACTGCTGAAGCATTTTTCAAGGAATACATTTGCAAGTATGGGGTACCGGCAGTCGTACTATCTGATCAAGGGACACACTTCCACAATCAGTTAATGGAAGCAACGTCAAAATTAGTTGGATATGACCACACATATTCAACCACTTATCATCCACAATCAAATGGAATGATCGAAAGATTTAATGCTACATTCATTCCACAAATTGCCAAGCTTCAAGATAGAGAAAACAATAATTGGGATGAATTTTTAGCACCAGTAGTATTTGCATATAATACTGGATGCCATTCAACAACTCAATATTCACCATTTCAATTATTATTTGGACGAGAAGCAAGATTACCCACTGAAGCACCATTATCAACATTTACATTTCG